AAAGAAAATTACAAAGCAAATACCCTTTTGTAAGGGCCACTTAAGGATGAATTATACTCACCCCTGTACAAATTCTGTGACGGCATCGTTTTTAAAAAGTTTTTTTCCTAAGTAATTTATATATGCACAATAAGGTTTGTACGTTTTACCATGTAGTTTGGGCCCCTTTATCACATACTGTACATCTAAATTCAACATTTTACTAATGATCTCCTGATGATTCCTTGATAAAACTGGTTGATTGTAATGATTAGTTAAAAATAAAGAAGTTTTTATTTGTAAAACTTTAACTGGTTCTCCCATCCAACGTTTAATTTCCAATTCTGATGGAATATGTTGTGAATCAGGCAGTTCCAACATTAAACCTAAACGTTTATCATAATGACATAAAGTTCTTAAATCATTCCACCATTCCCATACGTCTTCTTCTTCACTTTTTGAACATATAGGTGAAAAACAAGTAGGATGAATCATTGGTAACTGAATCCACACCTAAATGTACAACAAATAATTATGCATCTATTAATTCTTGAATTCTATTTGCATTTATTTTCATTTATCATTGGTTATCAATCAATCTTTAAATTAAGTGAATCTTTTACTGGATCTTTATTTATATATATTTTAGTTTAACTTCAAAAATCAAAATATCATTTACCTGGAAATTGACATTGGAACCAGCCAATTTTTCCATTAAAATGCCAGCTAAATTTGTATTATTTCTCTGATGTAATCTTATTATAACTGCTGGTAAGCCCAAGTGACTAGCAAAACCAAGCTCTTGATTCAAAATTGCTTTACTGTAATTTCTAACATGATTTGTTTCACTATCAACATTAATACTGGTTAATTTTCCTACAATAAGTCTATTCCAATCTGTTCCAGTTAAAATTCTATCAGTTCTGCTAATAACATGGGGAGCATTTTTGGAGAGCAAATCACGAGAATATCTAGGATGTACAGCATTTATAATTATAAAATGATAACCATCATTAGAAGCATTTCGAAGACATTCTCTCAAATCGCCTGGGCAATCAATTTCTAAAGCAGACGACATTCGCTTACGCTTTTCCTGAGATGGCTCTTGATCTGGTATTTCCACTTGTTCCATTTTATAAACTTATTTGAAAAAAGACAATAGTGTAGAGTGTACACTATTTGAATTAATATTTGGAGAACTGCAATCCTTTTCTGCAATTTTCGTAACTAAATTTGATAACATACAAAATGTATTTTCACTTTAAATTTCAAAGAAAGGATAATATTACCGGCTATTAATACTTAATTTTTACCATATACTGCCTAAAAAAAGTGTGGTTAAATTCTATGTATTGCATATCATCTATGATATGTTTATACAAAGGATGTGTCTAACTAATACCAGTACTTTGATAATACATTAATGAGTATTCTTTTCTTATTGGCATTTACTGTTTATTGATTAAATTTGATTGATACAAACATTAATATAATCTATTCCTAGACAAAGAATTACATTAATTTGAGTCCATTCAAAAAATCTTAAAACCGTTGCTGGTCGTTTCGTTTGACACCAACTAATCGTTTGCTCAAACCATAGATTATATAATTTAACGACATTAACTTATGGACATTAACCTAGCTTTTCATATTTTCGAATTTATGATCATATTTTAGATGTTTTCATCGTATTTTTATTGCTTTTCATAATAACAATAGTTTTTAATGTTTAGTGCATTTCGTATTTAAGGTATAAGTTGTGATTTATAAACACTTAAATTATTACTAATGGAACAAAAGGAGGAAAATCCGCCGAAGAAAAGTCGCCATCGTAAAAAGCAACTTTACAAAAACATATTGCAATTAATGGAGTTCTATTTTAGTGATTCTAATTTATCAAAAGATCGGTTTTTGTCCGAATTGGTAATGCAAGATGCCTGTAAGTATATTAATTAAATATCCCTACAGTCTATTTTTTCTTTAATCTAATAAATAAATTTTAGTTGTTGACCTACAAGTATTCTTAAAGTTTAACAAGATTCGAAAATTAACTGAAAATGTAGTGGATATTCAGAAAGCAGTAAGTAAATCGGAAATATTAGAACTATCCGAAGACAAAACTAAAATATGTAGGAAAACTCCTTTTGTACCAAAGGAAAATGTAGATGAATGTACCATATATGTAGAAAGGCTAAATTCTGATGCTACACATGAATGGTTAACATCATTATTCTCTGAATTTGGTAAAGTAACTTATGTATCAATACCGAAATATAAAAACAATGGCATGGTCAAGGGTTTTGCATTTATTGAGTTTGAAGACCCTAAAGGGGTTGAAAATACTGTAAACTTTTTTGAGAAAATAGGTTGCAAAATACCATCAAATATGGAACCGCAGAATTTGTGTAGTATCATTACCTATGAAGGTGATGAAAAAGTAACTAATAAGACTGAAAATGATGGTAATAACACAGATCTGGATTCTACTTCACTAAAACGTGCCCACAGCGATAATGACATAACATCAAATAAAAAATTAAAATTGGAGAGCAGTGTACAATCAGTTGTAGATAATACGACTCCAGAAAAAGAAATTGTTAAAAAGAAAAAAAAGAAAGGCAAAAACAAGAATAACATTGAAGAACTTGGTCTACAAATCCTTACAAAGTAAGTACTATTATACCGATTCAGCAATTTAATTCATCTAGAAATTTGTATTTGATGGTCCTTATTTTCAACCTTAGAATAGCTATTCCATAGGTTTTCACATTTTTGGCAGTTATAATTTTTAAAGATAGATTTCATTAGTCTCTTAAATATTTTGAATGTGTAATTATTTTAGGAAGGAATGGAAAAAGATGAGAAGCATTTATTTAAATTTACAGAGAAAGAAAATGAAGGAACTAAAAAACTATTTGTCTAAACAGCGTTTTAATAAAAGAGAAAATAAAAATTGTAATCAATTAACTAATGTAACAAAAGAAGAAGCAATAAAGCCTAATTCAAAAGATGCATCTACTATTGAATTTAAAGAAGGTCTTATAGTTAAAGTAATTTTACCGGAGCCTTATCAATCAGGCAAAATGTTAAAGGTATTTTACCGTAAATACATCATTTATTTCTCAAGAAGCTATTGAACCCTTTCAGAGAAATATAGCACGCGAAATTTAATTTTGTATTCATATTCTATATAATTTTTTTCTGTAAGTTTTTTGCAGAATGAAATAAAGAATCATTGTCCTGAAGTTGTATATGTTGATATGTCTAGTGAAAATGAAGAAATATTCGTTCGATTTTCCGAACCAGAACATGCCAAACAGTTCTGTGCTTCAGGTTTTGAAGGGGATTGTTTGATATTAAAAGAGATTGAAGAAAAAAAATACTGGGAAAAGATTTTGGCTGACAGAAATAATAAACGAACAAAGAATTTAAAAAGGCAACGAGGCCGAGATAAACTTTTAAAAAAGGCTGAAAAGGTAATGGCACAGCACGTACGTTTTGATGATTTATAATTGAAGAATAATTTGTAGTATACATACATCTCTTCATTTCTAAGTAATACGAATAAAATGGAGAATCGTAGTTATTAACTGTCGTTTTTAATTTGTTACCAAAGTATGAAATAAGTAAAAATTGTAAAAAAAAACGTCATTGTGCTTTATTAAATATCTGTCTGCTTATACAAATTATAATTTTTTGCATGTTCAGCACAAAACAATAAACATGTTACCATGTAATCACTTATTTTAGCAAACCTTAATTTTATTGTAACTTCATTTCAATATCAGTATCTTCCACGCCCACGATTACCACCACCAAAACCTCTTCCTCTACTGCTTCCTCCAAACCCTCTACCCCCGCCACCACCAAACCCCCTACCACCTCCCCCTCTTCCTCGACCGCCCCTGCCTCTAGGACCACCGCCTCTTCCTCCTCCCCCACGACCACCGCGTTTTTGAACGCTGCCTGGAGGCTTGGGTAGAAATCGTTGCAATGGAAGAAGTTTTGCAGGATCGATAAAAAGCTGAAATTTAATCAATCACCACGAACATTTTCTTCGATTAATTTTCAGATAAATTTTAACTTACTTTCTGATTCTTCTTAAAGCTAGATGCCTTCATGTTTTCTCCTAATCGTATGGAGACCCAGTAATCCCTTAAATTTCCAAATATTTCATCTATTTTACCGATTTGTTCCTTATTTTCTAAATAAATTGGTGCATTAAAAAACGGAACATCTTCTAATTCAACTTTACAAACTAGATCATCTTGGCAAGGATATGCAAAGAATCCCAGAGGAATGACTCTTTCTGGTGGCCCCTGCTCATAATTTCTATTAAAATTCCCTTTATTTCCACCAAAACTATTGCGATTCCCAAACCCACGTCCACCTCCTCTATTGAAACCTCTACCACGAAAGGACATAACTTCCTTTTTATTTTGTTTATTTGAATAATTTATTTGTAACTAACTTTTAGGTTAATTTTGAAGAATAAACAGCATGAACTGCAGTAGGTTATGTGGTTATATCTCTATGGTCACATATCTCATCTTTATCTACCATTTATTACCCTTTGTGTATCTATTATCTATGGTATCTATTATCTATGTTTATCTACAGTCACTTGTTAAGGTTAAATTTGAGGTACATTCGATAAAAATCTTGAAAACCATTTCCATTCCAACCTTAAATCATACATTCCAACAAGACTTATATAAGCATTTAAACTAAAACCAATTATTTTTTAAAAACAAAAACAGCAGATCAACATAGAATTTATTAGAATCAATGGTTTTAATCTATAAACTTTAATCAAACACCATATGTCAAGCACCTTTGTGATTCCCTGGCCATCCATATCCAATAGGTATCCAATCATAATCTATGGTTATCAGTGGTGATTCCCAAGGATTATCATTAGGATTTGTTGTTTTTTTTATTTTATTGGTCAATAACAATTATTTAATTTAAACAGTGGTTTATTTAAAGTTCATTTATCTTATGTTTATTTTATTCATTTGTATTAACAAATTATTCTTAACTGTGTTATTGTAATAGTGAGGAGATATTTTTCAAAGCTATATAACAAATATGGGCTCATCTGAAAGCAAATCATCTGTTGTAATACGAGACAATGTGGATGAAACAAGTAAGATAATATCTTAACAGTATCCATTGCAGTTGTAAACTGTAAGACTTTTAAGATTTTATTCAGTTATGTAATGTACATGTAAATCTATTGCCATTACAGTAGAATTAATAGCCAATAACAATTGTAGTGTTTAATAAAATAAATTATTATTATAGAAATATCAACCCCAGATCAATTGCAATATACTTTCTTTGAGGCTCCACAAGAAGGTTGCTGTTTTTTTGGTATTAAAGCTGCACACGATGCTTATATTGCACTTTCGTCAAATCAAATTGATCCAGAATATGAAATATTAATTGGAACATCATATAATACGAGAACAATTATTAAAAAAAAAAAAACAGCAGTAATAAAGGTGGATATTCTTTGTGCTTATCAAAAAAAAATTGATCCGATCAATCAAAAAAAAAAATGTAGTACTTTACAATTTAAACAGTTGTATAATTTCAGACATTTGTGCCAAACATTCTACATAAAGATGAAGTACGTTATTTTTGGCTTAAATGGAAAAACAATAAACTGTTATTAGGACGTAAAGATGAACAACAAGCATTTGCTAATTTCATTGATTATGAAAATATTCCCATAAATTACTTTGGAATATGTACGTATGGATCAACTGGTACCTGGATTATTAAAAAGAAGTATGAGATAGGTAATTATTTTTTAATAATTTTGTATGCATATTTTAATTAATGCTTTATATTTAGAATCACAAGCTGAGCCAAGCAATGCAAGAAATGAACCATCTACATCAGGAACTGCAAATAATACAGGATATTCATCTAAATATTCATATTCATCTGTTGATTTCCCACATACAGAAAATAAGACAAAAATATATGAAGACTTGACAAGAAAAAAACTAAACACTGATGTAGAAAATACTAGCAAAATTAATAATAACATTACAAATACACTAAACAATAATAAAACCAATCCAGTCAATTATGTTGATAATTTCAAGAATTTAAATATTAAAAATAGTTGTGATGAACGCCAAGGTTCTACAAGTAATGATACCTTAGAACGTTTAGAAAAATTTTTTCTGGAAAGTACAATGAATATGAAACAAAATCAAACATCTAAAGATAAAAGTAGAAAACATCACCATCGTGATAGGAAAAACAACTCTAATATGAACAGAAAGCCCCATAGTAGTTCCAACAAAAGCGATTTCAAGAATAAAACTGAATGTGACAGTATCATAAGTTTTGATAAACTACTTGAAATAAGTCGAATGAGTCCTCAGCTTATTCTTGTTGAATTACAGGCATACAAATTTGAACGTTTATTTGAAATAAAACTTAAAAAAAGTTATATTAATATCATACTAAACATTCTATCAAAATTATGCCAAGCTGATTTTCTTGTTACTAAAAGATCAGTTATCACAGGTTTCTTTTCAAAGGAAGTTTTTCGTAAGCAACTCCTTGATTATATGCTTCACATGAGATTACAGTCTGATGCGGATTACAACAAGCATTCGCGACACCACAATGAAATGTGGGAGTCGCTATATATTGTTTGTAAAACTGCTGCAACTATCCCAGCTGAATTGCAAGCAGGATATTTAGAAAATTTGGTTTTTGAGTGCCAAAATACCTTAGAGGCGTTGTTGCCTAGGGATGGAAGTCGTAAACACGTTTTAGAGAAGTTTAGAAAATTAAAAGAATTCGTATATTTTGAGACAAGAAGACGTCCACTAATGTAAGATGAAAACGATTGTCATAATTGTAATCGTTTTCAAACCTTTGGTAATTAATTAAAATCGAAAATAATAGTTACTGCAATATGTGCGAGGTATTTTGAACACCATCTTTTGTATGGCTACTATTTTCTTGTTATCTGAAATATACTTTTGTATTTGTATGGAACTATGGAAATGAATTGCCTTATTTTTAAAATACTATTTAGAAAGAACTAGGGTCAATAAGTAAGTTAAGAGAGATAAGTTTTCTAACAAAGTTTTGTTGATCGTTTATTGTTTTTGCACTTATTTTAATAATTACTAATAATCATAACATGCAGGATCACATTCTTTTTTTGAGCTTTCTTGTTATGATATGGTTTATATTTAGTGAATAAAAGAACCAATTTTATTCTTTTAGATTACAGATTTTTATATGCATTTATGAGAAAAACATTTCTTAGAACTTAAATAGTATCAATAAATATATCGATTATAATGGGAAAATACAGAAAAAAAAGGTTAAGAGTATGGCCTTTAAAAACATCTATTAAAAAATATTTCATGTAACAAAAAATTTAAATGGATGTGATATGGTTATACTATGTGTTTTTTTTTATTACTTGTTAAGAATTATTACACTATTAAGGGAATCACTGGAACTGAGTGCCATTAAAAAAATTAAAATTATGTTATTTTACATAATATAAAAAAATATTGTGGCCTTCAACAACTAAGAAAGTTTGTATTTCGTAAGTTCTTATACATTTAATTGTATCATTGTTTGGGGGATAATAAAAAACAAAAAGAATAATTTGTGTTTAGTTTTACAAGGATTTAAATGTACATAAAACATTAATTATAGAGCAATAAAGACAAAAGATCGTCTAGAGACAATTGTGACTTATCATTACCATTTACAAATATCTGAATTCGAAACATATGAGTGGATGAGAATGTTTGATCTAAAAAACAAAAATTCATTTAACATACTAATTTTTTTGTAAACTTACTTTGATCCGTTTTGAGGAGTAAAACTGATTGAATATTGTAATTTTCTTTAAAACTATTCAGTCCTAGAACAGTTAAATTATAAGTTAAGAAACTGTGACTTATCATTACCATTTACAAATATCTGAATTCGAAACATATGAGTGGATGAGAATGTTTGATCTAAAAAACAAAAATTCATTTAACATACTAATTTTTTTGTAAACTTACTTTGANACAGTAGATTTTAATTAATTTCGACCTTAAATATTTTTATTAAAGAACAATCAAAAACAAAGGAGCATAATATTTACCTTTCCCTAAAGTTTACATTCTCTAAAATAGTATCTCCTAATCTTAAGGCATCAATTACATGTAAACTTTGCCTACAGTTTATATTTGATTCGTTTTCGCCTTCAAAAATTATATTTTCATTTACCATTTCACCATATAAAATTGTTCCTTTAACCAAATAGACAGTTTTTATTCTGGCCCATTTATTTTTAATTAATCGGTAAACTTTATCATCGCTTATAGCTACAATTTTTTATATATTTCAAAAAGATTCAATTTTAAAAATGCAACTAATTTGTAAAGTAAAAAGAACGTTATTTACCTGCATAAAAATGGCAATTTCTGTTAGAACTAAGAAAAACATAATGCCACTTTTTCAGATCATCTAAAATAATTTTTAGTTGCTTTAAAGATAAATTTTCTCGAGACTGAATAGCTAGTAATTCTGAAAATTAGAATATTTTGTTAACATAAATTAAAAAGAATTTAATTTCAAATCATAAGAACAAACTTTACTTGGCTCAGAAATTGTTTCAAGTAGTAAATTATCAATATCTAAATCAGATGGTTTCACTTTCATATAATCAGGAATTTTCCAATATTTCAAACACTTTTCTCGATATTCTGCTTGTCTTGGTTCAATTAGTAAAGGATTATAACAAAATGCAGTTATTTTATTCAAAGCAATTAATTGCCTCTTCCCCAGTCTAAAAGCACATCAATATATATTTATTTAAAACACTTAAAATTCTACTTGCCTACTGTTTGTATCAAAAATATAATTAAAAAACTTTTGATCTGCCATAATAACTTCTAATGGAACAATTTGATTAACATCCTGATCTATGTTGTTGCTTTTTAAATGCAATAGTTCTTGAACTATCTCCCTAAAATACGCTCTAATCTTCACCAACTCATTGCTCACAATGAGATTTCGACAAATTAAGTAACGTTCTGAATTTGCAGGTCTTGAAGCATTTGGTTTAAAAATTGCCACTAAAATAATAATCTAATAAGTGTTTATTGCTCCTTGAATTTATGACAATGGTAATTACCACTTTCAAAACATTGGGACATTAAAAATATAATCCCAACAGAAAAAAGGGAGTATGTATCAAATAGTTTTGTGACAAAATGTCCATATGACCTGATAATTTCAAGAGCCATAAGACACTGGCAAATGTACAGCTGCTTTGACAAAATCTCTTGAAGATTTTCATATCCTTCTACTGAAAATCCCTTCAACAAACATTATTTGATATTACTAACAAACTGTTGACATACATTTAAAAAATATTAATTACAAATTGATGATAATAATAAACACACATATTTATACTTTACTTACACCATCTGCCATCATAAAATGTACACCTTCACCTTTGGTTTCGTGCAAAATATATTGCTTAAAGTGAAGGATATTTTCCAAATAATAAATATTTCCATCACCTCTTGACCCATACAATGCATTAAACATTACAGGAGAGCAACAGATGGACTTGTATAAATTAAAATCACTTTCACCTTTTAAGGTAAAACCAAAACCTTTGAACAACCAACCTTTTCTCCATAAAATATATTCGGTAAATCCTCCTGGGCCAGCACAAACATCTGCAAAATAGAAGGGACCTCTATGCCTTTTATGGTGTTCCTTGGAAACATACATTTTCATTTAAAAATGTTTAAGCAACAGATAGATGCATTGAGACTTACATCAGATGCTATCTCTGTAAACATAAAGTCTGATGATGAATCAATATTTGCCATCTTTAAAGCTGCTCTGTTCATAAAAAATGCTGATTTTATAGTTTCAAAAGGATTTGCCTTAGCTCTCGCTCTGTATATGTCTTGTACTTTTAATACATTAAAAATATTCTTAAAATAAGTACAATGTTTATATCTATAACTAATAATATCTGTTTAATTTTCATTTACCTTAGCAATTAAAATTTCCTTTAAAACAGTATTATCACAAAAATTATTTTCACATTCTATCATGGTGATTTTAGGTCCCTTGACAATCCATTTATTTAACTGTGAGACATCTAATGAATAACTGGTACTTTTAGGTAGCCAATTTATTTTCTGTTCAATAGTGATTTCCTGTAATTAGCAGATTCAAAATAATAGCAAGAAAATATTTAAAACATCTACTTCGCAATTAAAATTCCACTCTGTAGTACAATTTGCTGGTGTTTGGAACTCATAATCTAGTCCATAATTCTCTAAATTTGTTGTCTCAACAACTTGTAAACAATCCTCTGTATTTTTCTGAAATGCAGAACTCGGTATAAATTCCATCCTATCCTACAATAGAACCTTTAACAACAAGTAATTTCTTAAACAGTCTTTTACACTTTTACTAACCATNAATAATTTATCTCAACATTTTCCATACACTTGTAGTTTTGATTTGTTTAATAATAAAACTGTTTTTGAAAAGCTTTGTTATAATACTTTATTTATTTTTTCTTAATTTATGTTTGTTTACATCCGGTTCTCTTCTCTGTCGTGTAATTGCTAATCTATTATCTATGTTGCTAATCTATGCTACTTATTTCTTATTTATCTATGTTTCTTATCAATACACTATAATCTTTTATCTATGGTTTTTTATGTTGTTGTTTTTTGGCACTGCCCTTGTGTAAATTACCGGTAAAATTTATAAACGACATTACATTTATCATAAAGTTGATTTGTTTTTTTCAAGTAATTTAAAGAGTACATCATGGCTTGGTTACCATTGGAATCAAATCCAGATGTAAGTACATATAGAAATAAAATATTTATTGTAATTTTTACATTAGTCATAGACATTGTTAAACTTTTAGGTTATGAACAAGGTAAGTTATGCGTTATCATTATTTTCAAACAAGTAAACTAAAAAGGTCCATAATAGTTCATGCAAACTCTGGGGGTTGAAGATAAATGGAGTTTTGTTGACGTGTATGGGTTAGATGGTGAAACATTGCAGTGGGTTCCGCGCCCCGTTTTAGCTGTGATGCTTCTGTTTCCTTGCAACGATAAAGTAAAATGATACTTATACTTTTGTAAATGTATTTCATATATGAATTGTTTTAGTTTGAAGAATTTGCCAAAGAAGAATGTGAACAAATAAAACAAAAAGGCCAAACAATTTCTCCAACTGTATATTTTATGAAACAGTTTGTTTCCAATGCCTGTGGAACAGTTGCACTTATTCATAGTATTGCAAATAATCTGGACAAGTATGTCTTTTTACTGAATAATTAGAAGTTTTACTTTTTTTTTATTGTTTTCTTGTAGAATAAATATTTCAGATGGATTGTTTAAAAGTACTTTAGAATCTAGTATAAATATGACACCAGATGAAAGAGGAACACTATTAACAAATACAGGTGGTGGTATAAGTGAAATTGCTGATTCCTTAGCTAAAGAAGGACAAACAGAGGTAACTTGTTTGAGATGAAATTGTATAATAAATTGCATTAATTGCTTGTACAGGGTGTCCTAACTATGAATCTTTTTCTTATTGTTGTAGTTTAAACTGTACATTTGCAAGAAAATGTGCACTTTTATATGCTTATTTGGTACATATGAGGAGATTATTGTTAATCATTACTTGTGTCCAATGTAATGAGTACAGTGCTGTAATTTTGAAGTTTGGGTTGTATTTGGTATGGTTTCCCTGATTAAAGTTAAAATCAAGGTAACCTTCTAAGGCTAACGTCTATTTGCATATGTTACCAACCAAACAGTGTGAAAGTACACATTTTCTGGCGAATGTGCAATTAACACACTCTTACCATAACATATTTGAGTTAAGAATCACATCATTTGGCTGAATGGATAATCTGAAAACAAGTCTAAAGTGAAACAAATTATGGTTTTCCGCCTTGTAAAATTTTCATTCAGTAAGTTTAGTAGGGTTTCTGTTTAATTCTGACATGCAATTAAGAAGACTGGAATTGGAACAATAACTTATCCTGAAGCGAACAAGTCTAAAAAGTATCATCACTGAAGGATAGAAAACGGTTACGTTCGCTGCGCGATGAGCGACTGCGCATCAGTTTCTGTATTTTCGACTGTTTCAATACAAAACGTAAACAAAATCGTGCCTATGCGTCAGATTGGATGCGCACCGCTTTAGTGCTTAGCGGACGCACCATACAAAAACAAAATAAACAAAGCAGTATTTCTCAACCAAACATTAATATATTACATCGCATCAGTTAGTCAAACACATACTGAAGACTATGTTTCTCTAGTCCCCCCCCCCCTTGGCTCACTGAAATGTTTCAAATCAAATGTGTAGCAATTTTAAGCAGTGTTACAATAATTATTATTATTTAGGTGAGTCCAAATATGCGGGTATATCACCATTTCGTTGCATTTGTTTGTAAAGACGGAAGCTTATATGAATTGGATGGAAGAAGAGATTTTCCTATCAATCGTGGTCCATCCTCCCCAGAAAAATTACTAGAGGTATTAGGTTCTTGAATTTTCTATCGATATTATTGATCATTATTTGTAGGATGCAGCAAAAATTTGTAAAGAATACATAGAAAGGGAACCCAATGAGGTCAGTTTTACGGTCATGGCCCTAGCTGCATCAGAAAAATAAAAACAGATCTGATTTTTACATAATTTTTGTATTGAAGCTTAAAAAATATGATTAAATGAGCTTCAATGGATTTAAATGAACATCGCTATACAAGACTCGCACGCCTTTCCAAAATAAATATCGCGTATATTTGTACCAATTAGAGTGCATACTAAAGCCAAATTGAACTATAAAAAATTATTTGTATACTTATTAAATATAGAGCATATTGAAATACATTTCACTTTTATTTTAACTTCCAAAGCTGTCATTGCTTAAGTTAGTACCGTTAGAGCACTATCCGACCTGTTGTACTGAATAGTTCGATTTACATTATTATCAATCAAAAAAATTTTAACCAATTTAATATTCATCACCCTGTATGTCGTATTCGTTTTTTAAATTGGCTAAATGTAAATTAAGTGCAAAGACTCGTTCTGTCATAACCTAACTTCAAAATAGTTGATCTATGATAACATAACCTAATCATTTTTAAATGATAATCTTTTATCACTTTATGTTTATTATAATTAAATTTATTTAGATAATAAGAACAATAAAAAAATGATTCGTGCAGTATTAATTGACTTAAGTGGCACACTGCACATCGACGACACAGCTATTCCTGGAGCTGTTAATGCATTGAATAGGTAAGTAATAATATAACGTAATAGTAGTGTCATAGGAATTTATGTATTAAAAACATTTACTATGTAACATTTTATAAGGTTAAGAAAAACAAATGTTCTAATAAAATTCGTTACAAATACAACAAAGGAGTGTCAAAGAATTCTTCATGAACGCCTTACAAAATTGGGTTTCGAATTACTTCCTGATGAAATTCACAGTTCCTTACAGGCTGCAAAAGCTCTTATATTGAAACGTAATTTGAAGCCTCTTCTTTTAATTGCCCCTGAAGCTCATGAAGACTTTCAAAACATGAATTATACACTTGAAGACCAACCAAATGCAGTCGTTGTAGGATTGGCACCTACTGAATTTCATTATGACAAATTAAATAGTGCATTTAGGTATGTTCTCGAAGTAACGTTTGTTATTGTTTCACTGGAACATTATTTTAATTTCATTTGCAGGTGTTTATTAAATGGTGCACAATTAATTGCAATCCATGCTGGAAAATATTACAAACGGAAGGATGGACTTGCCTTGGGTCCTGGATGTTTTGTTAAAGGTTTAGAATATTCTGCCCAATGTAAAGCTGAAGTTGTAGGAAAGCCAAATACAAGTTTCTTCTTATCAGCTCTTGGAGATATATCACCTCAAGAAGCTGTTATGATTGGTGACGTAAGTTCTTTTTTTTTTCTTTATTAGTTGTAAGATTATCCATAAAATTTTCTTTTGATTCTTAAAACAACTAATCTCTAATTAATGAAGCTTTAAAATGATTCACTGTACTTTCAATTATGTATTGGTGAATACAACAATGAAACAAACTTGTGACTAGTTTACAAAAACAAAAATTAATTTTTTAAGGATGTAACTGATGATGTTGAGGGTGCTTTAAAAGCGGGTTTGCAGGGAATTTTAGTTCAAACAGGTAAATATCAGAAAGGTGACGAAAATAAAATAACTCCCCCACCTACAGCAGTTGCTTCCAGTTTTGTTGAAGCTGTGGAAACAATTTTAAAAAATATAAAGGAATAGAGAGTATAAAAATTAGTTATTTGTATTTTTAAAAAAACGTTGTGTACATAAATTATTAATAAATCTAGTATAAAT